TTATATTATTGATTTGTAATCGCTCTTGTAGACTAAGCAAATTAGACTCAAAATTTGTTTAGAAGATATGTCACCATGGTCTTGGGAGTCATAAAAGGTGCGTGGGATTATAGCTTAGTTTGGTGATGGTGGGGATTTGTGGAGTCATTATATTTAAGAAACACAGTTACTCTTGTTTTTTAAGCAAGGGGTGCAGGGAAGGAGGGTGCATGATAGCCATTTCTTCCTCCTTCTGTTGGCCATCAGCCTCCCTGAGTCACTCTCCAGCAGTGACGAGGAACAAGATCAAGGACACCACATTTCTCTTTGGTCATTATTATACCTCAGAAACCAGAAAGTTTTAGATACCAGCCAGGGAAAGGTGCTAATATTTAGGAGGAACATAGAACACCAATGGCGCATCTTACTACTGAAAATTGCTTTGGTTTTCTTTTAGTTCTGGGGTGTGTTTTGACTTGCCGTCACCAAGGTTAAGGTTCAAAATTATATCAACAAAAATGGAGTGACCCGCCAGAAATTACCATTTTCTAAAATATGGAGATGTTTAACAAAATAAAACATTTCTTTGTACTTTGCCTCTAAATTAGAATGTTCTCTTCATCTGCTAACCTGTTAATGGGATAAATTCTTTTTTTAAAATTAATTAATTTTTAAAATGTATTTTATTTTTGGCTGTGTTGGGTCTTCCTTGCTGCACGTGGGCTTTCTCTAGTTGAGGCGAGCGGGGGCTACTCTTTGTTGTGGTGCGTGGGCTTCTCATTGCGGTGGCTTCTCTTGTTGTGGAGCATGGTCTCTAGGTGCTCGGGCTTCAGTAGTTGCAGCGCGTGGGCTCAATAGTTGTGGCTCGCAGACTCTAGAGCGCAGGCTCAGTAGTTGTGGCGCATGGGCTTAGTTGCTCTGCGGCATGTGGGATCTTCCCGGATCAGGGATCAAACCCGTGTCCCCTGCATTGGCAGGCGGATTCTTAACCACTGCGCCACCAGGGAGGCCCCGGGATAAATTCTTGATAAACAGTTACAATGTAAGTCTTCTCTCTAGTTGTAATCTTTGATAGTTTTATAGGGACTGGGTATGTCATTATACAGTAGTTCTCATTTTAGGTATGGTTTGATCCAGAGACAAATTCTGTTGCCAGGACTTTTTTACTTTTATTTTTTAATTGAAGTATAGTTGATTTACAATATTAATTTCAGGTGTACAGCGTAGTGATTCAGTATTTTTACAGATTATACTCCATTAATAGCTATAATAGCTATAATTCCCTGTGCTCTACACTGTATCCTTGTTGCTTGTCTATTTTATGCATAGTAGTTTGTATCTCTTAATCCCTTACCTCTGTCTTGCTCCACATCTCTGGACTCTGCTGTCTTACTTGCTGTTTTCATTTCACTGTGGTGTAAAGATGACTGCCAGCGTCTCTAGTCCCATGTCCTTTCCAGGTTCTGGGCCAGTAGGGGGAAAATAAACCTCTCAACAATGTAATTTCTGGGTTTTCTAGGATCCTAATCATGTGTTATGGGCAGGGGGATGGAATGTGCTGATTGGCCTGATCTGAGTCACGCGACCCTCCTTGGAGTTGGAGGTGGAGTTAATTCTACAGGAAGTATTATATAGATTGATAGCAGAGGAGAGTGGTTCTACAAAGGAATATCTGAGGGGTTTTTTGTTTGTTTGCTTGTTTGGCTTTTTTTGTTTGTTTGTTTCTTAAACCAAATAGGTGCTGGGCAGGACAAAACAAAACAAAATAAATAAAAACAAAGCAAAAAAATTATTTAATCTACTGTTATGTTTTAAAGCAATTTTCTAAGAGCATTAGTACTGTTAACAAGAAAAACCAACCATTTTAGATTCTTCAGAGGCACCAGTTTACAATCATACTAATGAGTAACGCTTACTTTTTTACTTAAGCAAATGTTTCAGATCTACAACATATGGCAGTTAAGTCTTGTTTTAGAATTTATACTTGAGAGATTGGTAAAAGAAAAAAGTTAAGGAATTTAGGATCCTACGGTCTTCTACCCACTGCCAACATTGCAGATGGAGTTGTGCTCTAGCTACAACTGTCAGTCCTCCAAATCAAAGCTGAGTAAGAAGATTTAATTTTATTTGTTAGTGAACGTTTTTAACCTTTATATAGAATGTTTTATAGGCAGTGTTTCAAAGACATTAAAGCCATGTTAATTCCAACTTAAAAATTAAAAATCTATTCAGCTTTAGTTTTGGAGATAGGTGTTTTTAGAGCACAACTTGGATGCCTAAAGCTACTGCTGTAGAAAGATACACAAAGAGCTTTTTATAACTGTGAAAGCTTAGAGCTTTGAGAAAGTATAAGGAGATTGGCTGGTGAAGAAGCTGCATGGAATGTTATCTTAAAGAGTAATTCCAAAGTCTGTGTAAATTTTAATTACTCAGTATTTTTACTTTTCTAAGATAATTGAGCCAGTTTAGAGCATAAGACAGATTTGAATTTAACTATCTTTAGATGGGCCATTGAAGAGATAGTCTGATATTTAATTTCTGTTTAGACAAGTTCTAAAGCAGTGTATTTATGCTAGATGGTGCCACCAGGCCACGAACTACCGCTAGATTGTATACCCTGGAGCAGTTAAAGGTAGATGAGTGCTGAGGATTTGCTGTAGTCCAGAAGCACTGCTAAGATTTGAGCCCCCTTTCAGTTCTGAGGTCCATTCTTAGGTTTGAAGTGCTCTCTATTCTCCCACCATCTCGTGGGTGGGTGTCAGAATCCACTAAGCGTTCAAGGCCACTCAGGTTCATTGCAAGGCCTAGGTCATACCAAGACCTTCTTGACTGGATTAATTCACTGGACATATATTAATTCAGTCAAAAACCATTTATTGTGTTCCTGCTATTTGCTAGGTACTCATCTAGATGCTGGAGATACAACAGTAAATAAAGTCTCTCCTTTATAGAACTTATAGTCTAGTTGGGGAAGATTGACAAGTATCTGGAACTATCCATAATTCCATATTAGGTATAATTATACATTGTTTTGGTCAAGTACAGATGTTCTGGGGAACTGAGAACCAGAGAGGATCCTTTAGGTCACCTTGATTTCTTTAATATTTCCTTGGATCATAGGGTAATATTTTGGGCAAAGGTGGGTGATATAGCTGGTGGTAAGGCTGGTGGTAATTTTTGGTATTGCTATTATATTTTGGACTAGGTTTAGTTGATTTAAACTTTTTCTTATTTCTTTAACTTTATTTTTTGATTATGTAAATCATTCTTATGGTACAGAAGTTAAAACCACATAAACAAGTATCAGGGAAGTCTTGCTTTTATCTCTATTCCCTCCAACCTGTTCTCACCCCCACAGGTAGTAATTTTTCTGCGTTTCTGGTTTAACCTCCCAGTGTTTCTTTTTAATTGCATTAAAAAGAAACAGTTCAGTTAGAGAATAAGGAAGGAGGAATCTTCTCTCCTTAACTTTGAAGCATAAATGGATTTCCTTAAAGAGAGTAGTATTCTAGATTAAGGGGCTAGCATTAGCAAAAGCATGGAGCTAGGACCATGCATGATCTTTTTCATGGAACCTTAAGCAGTCACGTGTGACTAAGGGGCTGGGTATGTGGAAGATCTAGTGGCCAGTAAGGATAGGTTATGGAGAGGTCGGATTGCACAAGGCTTTGAAAGGAATAATGGGAAGTTTGTACTTTATGCTGGAGGCTTTGGGTAATGTTTTCAGGTTTTTGAATAGAGGACCAAGTTTGGAATCTTATGGCAGAATAGATGTGATTGTTGTGTATAGGCAATTAATAGTTCCTGTCAATTTAAAACCTTGACTGAGAAGGTTGATGAAAAATATATAGTAGAAGGAAATAGTTGCTGTAATCCAGGGTGTGAAATGGAAACCTTTGGCAGATTGTAGAAATATAAGTCTTTTAGAGTAAGCCCTAGGAACTTTTTGTAAGTACATTTGGGGCTTTTCGTACTTTGAGTATTAACCAAATTTATTAGACAATAACATTCTCTGTCAAAGAATCTTAATCTCTAGATTGGGAGAAAGGATTGGGTTGGTATGTGCGTGGAAGGGAAGAACTGAACTTTTCTGGCTGACTGCACATGTAATTAAAGATGGACTTAGCAAAGTGGGCTTTCAGCCTGAAGGGAGAGCTTAAAGCATATTTAAAACTGAGCCCATGGTTTCTATTTTTAAGTCTCTGAAAATAATGATCTGACACAGGGAACTAGCTTTTGAGAATGAATCTGTTGTGCTTAGACTTCAGCATTGCCAACTTTTTCTCCTTTTGATATGAGATGATTTGGCTATGCCTTAAGTTATCTTATATTTTTGTTGATTTCTGCTGTTGCTTATGGAGCTTTGCCTTTCCAACACTAGTGACTCCAAGTAATTCATGCGTCCTAGTTGGAGAAATTGTTGGGAAGGAGGCCTGATTAGGAAATAGGGGCTGGTTAACTGCTGGTCAAATGAGAATTTAAGCTGGCAACAGTTGGGTTACTGGCTGGATGGAGTGAACAGTGAGTTATTGCTTTTATTTTTTGCCTTTGGCTTCTTTTCCTGGTTGTAATAGATGATCTGTGTCAGACTGAGCTAGCAACAGAGGTGTATGTATGTAATAATGGCTGATTTTCTGTTGGTATGAGGTGGACTTTGCATGTCTACCAGCATCCTTCCGAAGGGAAAAAAGCAAATTACTATTATACTTAGTTTATGTTCTAGGAAATACTAACACTATTCTACAGGTATATAGCATTGATATAACATTTATGCTTTTCAAGAATGTTTCATATCTGTTATATCATGCTCCCAACAACCTTGTAAATGATATAGGGCAGGAATAGTTCCTATTTGACAGAAGAGATGCTGAGGCATAAATAAGAGACTGGGTTAAGGTTGCTGGCTCAACAGATAAACGACTGGGACAACTTACTCTATTTTATGTTTGAATTGTAACTTTCAGAAAGCTTTATAGGAGGAAAAAGCTGAATACTCCTCTTTTTTTGTGATTATTTTTCAGCGACGTCTTAGACATCTTCGGAACATTGCTGCCCGGAACATTGTTAATAGGAATGGCCATCAACTCCTAGATACCTACTTCACACTTCACTTGTGTAACACTGAAAAGGTATATAAAGGTAAGGGAATCTGGACTTGCCACCCACAGATCGTTGCATCTCATTTTTATTCTTTTGTAACACAAATGATTCGCGGTACCTCTTGCTAGTATTGCTTATTAGAAAGCTAAGTTGTCATGCTGTCTGAAAATATTTCATGAGCAGTTGTTATACATATTGAAGAAACATGTCTTTTGGATAGTTCTTTCAGATAACTGAGACTTACATAGATAAATTTATCATTCCTTTATGAATGTTGACGTTTAATATCTGTATTCCAGTAGCTGTCATTTAAAATAGGCTATTTGATGGGACTTCCCTGGTGGCGCAGTGGATAAGACTCCGTGTTCCCAATGCAGGGGGCCCAGGTTTGATCCCTGGTCAGGGAACTAGATCCCACATGCATGCCATAACTAAGAGTTCGCATGCCACAACCAAGGAGCTGGCAAGCCACAACTAAGACCTGGCTCAACCAAAAAATAAATAAATAAATAAAATAACTAAAACTTAAAAAATTTTTTTTAAATTTATAATAAAAAGGTTATTTGAGGGACTTCCCTGGCAGTCCAGTAGTTAAGACTTTGCCTTCCAATGCAGGGGGGTGTGGGTTCGATTGCTGGTGGGGGAGCTAAGATCCCACATGCTTCGCGGCCAAAAAACCAAAACATAAAATGGAAACAATATTGTACCAGATTCAATAAAGACTTTGTAAATGGTCCACATCAAAAAAATCTTTAAAAAAAATAAAATAAAATAGGTTATTTGAGTCCAGTATCCAGCACTAATTTGCTTTTCTTTAAAATATAATTGATTCCTTCAGTATTATGGTAAAATTTAGACCTAGTTCATATCTTCTCATATCTGTACTACTTTGTGTATATGGGGTCATTTTTAGAAGAATGGCATGGTTTCTTTGAATTCAGTTCCACATTGAAATGTGGATTCTTCCATAAGTGATAATTCTAAGAGTACATCAGATATTTGAGTCAAAATCACAAGCATCTTTTGAATACATATTGGATGAAAGGCACTTTGGTATAATCAGTTGACCTGTGTTGGTTGCTGTAAGAGAGGAAGCATGGTATAAGGACAGGAATATTGGATTAGGATTGAAACTACATTGATACTAGTGCTAGCTATTTCAGCTAGTATATAAGTGTATACTATACACTAAAATAGCTATATGCTATTTATGTGTTTTTTGGACAGAGATCATGGCTTTTCTAGCCTCACTTTTCCCATTTGTAAAGTGGAGATAATGAGGTCTTAAGAAGTCAGGCAAGACAGATTTTTATGAGGATCAACTGAGATAAGGTGATAACACTTGGTAACATGTGAGTAAAGGTCTATTTATATTAATAAAAGGTGGCATTATTTTAATTTTTTTCTTTTTTTTGCCCGCACTGCACGGCATGTGGGATCTTAATTCCCCGATCAGGGATCGAACCCGTGCCCCCTGCATTAGAAGCACGGAGTCTTAACCACTGGATCACCAGGGAAGTCCCAGATGGCGTTATTTTAAAAAGAGGTACTAAGGACTTATTTGAATTCTGTCCTATGGCAAAGATGAAAAATTCAAATGACATTTTATGTTTTTGGTTTTAATTACTTTTAAAAATTGTCATTAAAGCAGTAGTTGTTTAACAACTTTTTTCTTTTTTTAATTTCAATACCAGTATATGCTAATTTAAAAATTTAATCAGAAATTATATAGAGTAGAACCCCCCCCTTCATATACCAATGGCATTAGAGTATTTCGAAGGGTAAAAAAAAAAAGGACTGTAAATTCCGCCATTTTTTTTTTTTTTTTTTTTTTTTTTGCGGTACGTGGGCCTCTCACTGTTGTGGCCTCTCCCTTTGCGGAGCACAGGCTCCGGACGCGCAGGCCCAGCGGCCATGGCTCACGGGCCCAGCCGCTCTGCGGCATGTGGGATATTCCCAGACCAGGGCACGAACCTGCGTCCCCTGCATCGACAGGCGGACTCTGAACCACTGCGCCACCAGGGAAGCCCCAATTCCGCCATTTTTACATAGTTTTATTTCATTCTTATTTTTGATTCTAACCATTGCATCTTTTTAAAACAATTGTATTAATCTGAACGAGTAACACTAGCTACTATAACAAATACCACAAGTCACTCAGTGACTTGACATAATAAATTTCTTAAACACTAAGTTCAATGTAGGTGTTCTTTTTTCCAATAATAATTATAAGTATTTATTAAGAAGTAAGGAAATTTAGACTTAAATCTAAAGTCTCCCAGTTCTTGAGCAGCAAACGATAGCTAGAAAGCAGGCTTTTCACAAGTATAATCAATTCTTTAATTTATTTGCTTTTCAGTTTTCATTGGCAGGCATAATGTGGTTTGCAGAAGCAGACAAATATTTATTTATTTATTTATTAACATTTAAACATATTCTCTAATTTATTTTTTAACATCTTTATTGGAGTATAATTGCTTTACAATGTTTTGTTAGTTTCTGCTGTATAACAAAGTGAATCAGCTATATGTATACATATATCCCCATATCTCTTCCCTCTTGCGTCTCCCTCCCACCCTCCCTATCCCACCCCTCTAGGTGGTCACAAAGCACAGAGCTGATGTCCTGTGCTATGCGGCTGCTTCCCACTAGCTATCTGTTTTAATGTAGGTGTTCTTTATCAGATACTGGCTTGGCAGCTGTCTTCTAAGTGGTGACTCAGGTATCCAGGCTCCTTCTATTTTGGAATGATGCTTCTGGTATGGCAAGAGCAAGGGATTATTTGAGGGAGATTTTTTTTTTTTTTTTTTTGCCGTACGC